ATGTTATACAACTATCAAATTTAATATGCCATGCATATGAATGCCATGCAGTCAGAGCATGATGAAGACAGGGTGCGAGTGTGGAAAACACAAATATAACAATATTTAGGCCGCAGAGGGGGAGGGTGGGAAGGAGGGACATTTAAGGAGAAGGGGGTTTCTCCGAGCTCCAAGATGTGTTTGCTGCAATGAATCTGGAACATAACTGTATAATGTTATTGATAACACCAGCATTTGTTTTTTAGGGAAAAATGGCAAGCAGATCAAAAACTGCCCAAATTTGGTATTGCCTGGTTACATGTGGCAATACGGTGCAGAAGCGAGTCGTACAGCTGTTGTATCCTCCCACCCTGTGGCCCACAGCTGGTGTAACTGGCCCTCGAGATCCTGCAGATTGGCACTGGGTCTGAGTTGACTGGGGAAAGTTTTGAGGACCTGGCTGGCCACAGGAGGACCTCAACATGATGCATGCAGTCCATAGACACACATTCCTTGGGTGGACGGGCATTGTCTTGGTGAAAGACTGTACCAGGGTGATGTCTCAGGAGGGGTAAGACATGCTGACACAGGATGTCACTGACGTAGCGCTGTGCCATCAGGGTCCCCCGAATCACTACCAGAGATGACCTGAAGTCATACCCTATGGCTCCCCACACCATGATGCCAGGAGTAACACCGTAGGCAGGATTGGTCCTCTCCCCTCAGCGCCGCCATATGCACGCACAACGGTCATCCATGGAAATGCAGAGCCGAGATTCATCGCTGTAGATGGTATGACGCCATGGTATGATGGTGCCCTCACGTGCCCATTGGTTCCAACATCAGGTGACTGTGACATCTGCATGCCCTACATGCCGGGAAATTGCACAATAAGACCCAGCCTCATGCAAACCCACAATGCGACCCCTATCAAACTCCGTCAAGTGCTGCTAATGCTGTCTAATATGTTTATGAGGCATCCTATGTATCTGGTGACTAGACATGCCAGCTCCTGGCAAATCGATTAATTACATACCCATTGCTGGTCTGCAAATTACATCCAAATTGGACCATTACTCCTGGGTGCTTAACTACTCTCTCTGCCAGTTGCCCTAAGTAAAAGTGTTAATTGTCATATGCACTTCTGCATATGTATTAAACTGATCGCTCACAATCAGTCTGAATGCATGTTTATGGGTACCTGTAGGACCCCAGCCAATGGGGTGACCGTATATGCCCCTTCAGTTCAGAGTGAACCAGAGCTATAAATGTTCCAAAATACCTTGTAACTGGATAGCAGCAATTGAAACTGATGGAAATATAAACTAATATTTCAGATATGGAATATTTATTTGATATGTTGATCCAAAAACTGGAAATAGACGACTGGAGTAAGCACTTAAAATAACAAGCAAAGAAAATTGATTTTTTTCAGTCAGCGGAATCATTAACAGCAGTTATCACTAAACAATAAAGCGACCCCTTAAGTTTGCTGTAAATTCAGACGTTCACAAACCAACAGAATGACTATATCAAATGTCTCTATCACAGGGCCTCTTTCATGTGTGATGTATTTGAAAAACAATCCAGTATGTGAGCTATTGGCATGAGTGAGTGTGGTATGGATTGGGCAGTGACACACACTATTACTGGCTGTTGAATTTCTATGTAAAGTTTGCAAGTATCAGTAGGAGGACATAACATATCATGATCACTACAACAGCAAAGTTCAGTTTGACACCCAGAAGAATTTTCTGCTGACATAAATTTTAAGAGGAAGTGGTGGAGCAATAAAGGCATAAACAGGAAAAGAAAGGTACCTATCAGACAGGAAGTAAAGAGAAATCTAAATGCTCGAGATAGATATAGGTTTTCCTTCTGCTTGTGGGTGTTTGTCGGATGTGCAGCTTTTTGGTTGCTAAGGGCTGAAGTCAAGGAGGGGAATTAGTCAGCATAAAGAATGAGGCCATCCGACTTTTTGAGCAACATTGCCCGGCAGTGTTGCCAGCAGTGGGCAACCAGGTGAAAGACACTGGGCAACTAATGAAGACAATGGACAGCTGGCAAGAAAAAAATCAGAGAAGAGCTAATCTATTTCCAAGTAGACAGACACCGTAAAGATGGATGCTGAATCCTGTACCAGGACTAGCTAATGTAGTGAGAGTGGTGGCTCTGAGGCTAGGAACCTGTGCTAGAACTCTGAAGCGATCCTGCTTTGTTGGGCCCTTGAGCAAAGGCCCTTATCCTGCAATTGTTTCATCCTGGGTATGATGTTAATCTGCATCCAGCTCTATAAGGAGGTTCTCCAACTTACAGGGAAATTTGAGGGTTGGTGGCAGGATTGGCACTGTAGCCACTGTAGCCACTGGGAAAAAATTCACATTGGTCCATTTGGGCTAGTGTGGTGCTGAGGTATCACCCACTGCATAGCTGCACTCAGGTTCTCACTCCAGAGGTGGTTCATCATGTAGTGGGTTTAACAATGTGCTGTAATCAGTGTGTACCCCACACCTTAACATGAATAGATGAGATGTACTATAATTGTATTTCATTAGTGAAAATTATCCTATATCACAAAATAACATTGGTCAGTGTCAGCACAAGCTGGACATGTGCTCTTGTTTATAGGAGTCAAATCTGGCATTTTCAAGTTTTTTTGACCTAATACCGACTGCTAGACTGTGTCATTATCCTGTGGAAAAGTATTTGAAAGCCAATACCCGAACGAAAATAGCTGCTGGAAAAATACAGTATTGGCTCTGACAGGAAACAAACAAAACCTATCCATACATTAGTATGACTTTTCTTTCCACCGAGGAAAGGACTAATCAAAAATACATACCGGTTTGCATGCACTTATAGGGCATTCACACTGGATGGCACCTTCAGTTGCTAACAGAAAATGACCAATCCTCTGGATACAACCTGCGACTGTATGTAGGGTAAATAGCAGCCAGGTGCTGCTAATCAAATGCACCTGATTAACTGACCATCAGCCAGTGTGACCAGCTCTATAAAAGCAGAAGCTTTGGCAGTTTGCTGGTCTAGAGCATTCAGGTGTGTGTTAACTGCCAGGGAGGAAAGACATCGGAAATGATCTGAGAGACACGACTGCTGCTCCCCATCGATCTGGGAAGGGTTACAAGGCCATTTCCAAACAATTTGAAGTCCATCATTCTACAGTGAGAAAGATTATTCACAAGTGGAAAACATTCAAGACAGCTGCCACTCTTCCCAGGAGTGAACATTCCAGCAAATTCATCCCAAGGTTAGACCGTGCAGTGCTCAGAGAAGGTGCGAAAAACCCAAGAACCCTACAGGCCTCAGTTAGAATGTTAGACGTTAAAGTTCATGACAGTACAATTCAAAAAAGGCTGAAAAGTTATGGCCTGTTTGGAATGGTTGCCTGGAGAAAGCATATCTCTCTAAAAACAACATGGCAGCATGGCTTAGGTTTGTAAAGCTGCATCTGAACAAACCACAAGACTTCTGGAACAACGTCCTTTGGATAGACAACCAAAAGAACAAGAGTCTCTGAGTTGGAAAGCAGCACTGATCGCGCAGCCATTCGTAAATTTCATAGTGTAGCCAAGTGATATTCCATTACCCTCTTTTGATAAAATTTGGTGCTGCCCCTTTAAGAACGGCGGGTGCCTCACGGCATCCGCACATTGCAGGCGAGTGGGTTGCAGAAACACAGAAGCATTATACAGAAAAACGTGTCCCCAACATAATGTACTGACAGAGGTTAGCTGAAGGCTCTTAATTCTTACGGAAGCAACATGGGTGTACTTAATTTTCCACACACTGCGTCTGCATTTTGGTTTAGTTTTGTTAAATAAATACGGACACAGTGTAATATGTCACACTCTGTTGTCCATCTGAGGTTGTATTTACCTCATTTTAAGACTTGCTAAGGAACAGCTGATGTTTTATTACGTCCAGATACATAAAACCTTAGAATTGAAAGCTGTCCCTGACAGCTGTACACCTGTGTACTTTCTTTGTCACATGACCATATGTCTCCTTCCTATGGTGTTCAGGTCGGCACCAACACATTTTTAAGTTTAAAATGCATAAAAGCACCAAAAAAAGTGAAGTACAACAACAAGGCTTCACCACTCAGCAACAACCACTAAAAAAAAAAAAAAAAAAAAATCACTAAATTATAAATGCTCTGGTCAAGAGTCTATCCACTCTGGTGTTAGGGACAGCACCAGCCCGTTTGTAAGCATAAAATGCATAAAAGCACCACATAAATTTGTGTACAGCATCAAGGCTTTTTGACTTTGTCAGGAACCTCCATTTAAACAAAAAGTTCACTAAATTATAAATGCTCTGGTCAAGATTATAACAGCTCTGGTGTTGAGGTTATTTAAACAAAATTAATAAATAATAAAAAAAAATTCACTAGGCAAGGCGTGCCCTGACATGTAAGGCAAGATAAGAGCAATTCAGTTTATTTATTTAATTCACTTAAGGCCTATTTTACCATTATTTTTTATTGAAAACGACAGGTGTGCTGTCAAAAGAAAGCCACACCAAAAATATTAAAACCAATCTTTTCATGGATAAAGAAGCCTAACAAGGTAACCAAGAGATAAGAAATGAATTGGATGATAAATAATTGTTCTGAGGGTATTTTATGGCTGATTTAAGACACGGGTCGGCAGCAACCCGTCTAACATAAGAGATAGGAACAGAAAGCTAACATAGGACAAAGGTTAACAATGATATGTTTATTCAAGAACTACAACAGATTTCTCCATGACACATTGAACGCTCCAAAACCGCAATCTGCATAATAATTTGAAAGCCATCCTTGCTTCTGCTTTTTGAAATAAAGTAGGAATGATGCAAATCGCTGCCAAAACTGGGTATTTCCTATATGAGTTACATATCTATCAATGTAACCAGTAAACTGTAATCCAGTAAAAGTATTTGGATATTTAAGGGTATCCAGTCAACCAAAATAGAGTTTGCTTTGAAACTACATAGACATGGCTCAAATGTATCAGTTGAATACAGACATGTTTCCTGTCAGTTAACTGAAAATGAAACTTCAAAAATACACTCCACCTTCAGACTGCCTGTCTATAGACATGTTGTAAAAGAATCTGTAACATGGCTGCTGAAGCTTCATCTCTGGACAACGACCTCTGTTGTGCCATTTGCTCAGATTTCTTCAAGGATCCCCTTGTCCTAAAATGTAGCCACAGCTTCTGCAGAGACTGTCTGCAGAATTTCTGGAAAGGGAGCGACTCTCGCCAGTGTCCACTGTGCAGGAGCAGGTTCTCTGGGGAGGATCCCCCTGTTAACATCGTCTTAAGAAATGTTGTGCAGTCATATTTACAACAAAGGAATGAAAAGAGGGTAGCAGAGAAGAGTGCATCTCGCTGCGGGCTCCATGGAGAGAACCTTTCATTCTTCTGTGAGGACGATCAGGAGCTCCTCTGTGTGGTTTGTCAGACTGCAAGGAAACACAGAAACCACCAGCTCTGTCCAGTGGAAGAAGCTGCAGAGGATAAGAAGGTATTCTCTTCTGTATTGTATGTTTTTTGCCTAATATAATATACAGTGGTACCTCGACCCACGAACAGTTCTATTCACGAACAAATCGGGTTACGAACAAATGTTTTGTACCGGTTCGCGAACCATGTTTCAGGCTGCGAACCCACAAACATCCCCCAAAAGGGTCCACTGAAAGCGCCCCAAAGAACCACCTGCAACAACCTCTAACTAATGTAATTTTACAATCTTACCTAAACAGTTACATTGATGTGAACATTCATATGATGTCATAACTCATCCAGACTAGCATGCCACGCACTCAGGGTCAGTGCAGATGTCCTTTACATTGGGCCAAACCCCAGAAGGTATTTCCCATTCATTATAATGTGGGACTTCATAAGCAAGCTGACGATAAAGGATCCTTTGCTGGATATTGTCCCTCCCTCACAAGACGTCCTTCAGCACTAGTTTTCTGTAGCTGGTCATTTTCCTGGAATAGTCTCTTGATGTCAAACATATGTTGAATGTATCTCTCATTATATGTCTCTATATTTTACCTCAGGTGGAACTCAGGACTTTACTGATTCCACTAAAGGAAAATCTGGAGAAGTTTACAAAAGTAAAACAGGAGTTTGAAGAAACAGCTAAACACATGAAGGTATGGAGATTTGTTCTGAGATAGTAAAACTTCACTGTGAAAATTACCTTCAGAATTAATTAGAATTTCTCACTGCCAGAGTCAGTCCCAGCAAACTGAGAAGAGGATAAAGGAGGAATTTGAGGAACTCCATCAATTCCTGAGAGATGAAGAGGAGGCCAGACTGACTGTACTGAGAGAGGAAGACATGCAGAAGAGTGAGCGGTTGAAGCAGAAGATAGAAAACATCTCCAAACAGGTCTCCACCCTGTCAGAGAAGATCCAGGATATTGAGACGGCCATGGAAGCTGAGGACATCTCATTCTTGAAGGTAGGAGATGATTTTCTTATATTGTTCTGCTTGTTTGTGTGTTTGATAAAGCGTCCTGTTGAATGTCTGAAAAAAAGGAAGGAAAACATTTCAATACTGAGTATTTCTGCCCAGGAATTTCTGTTTTTTTTATGGAGCAACTACCCCCCAGCTCATGCTGAACACACAACAAATATAAACACATTCAGAGAAGAAATAACCCACAGATTCTCCAAGATAAATCTGATAGTTTATCTTGCAAATCAATGTCATGTTTTACAGATAATGTTTCCATTTTGTTTTCCTATTTTTCAGACCACGAAGGACAACAAAGATAAGTATGTAATAATAATTATTATATGCTTTCAGTTATTACTTAAACTACTTTAATGTTGCAGTGTTCTGGAGATGATTCAAGGCCACTTATCAAACAAACAGGACTACAATACTAATGTAATATTGTATCATCAGACAGGGGTGTGAGGTTTTAATTAAGCTAATTAGAAAATTCTCTGGAGTGTCTGGAGTTAGTGATGCTGCAGACTTTCAGTCGCTTTTCATTTGTGTGTTTGATTCCTTTCATACCCCACAGCACCACTGACTGCCTGTCACTGTCTTTGCAGAGTCCAGTGCTCACTGCAGGTCCCAGAGCTGCCTTCAGGGGCACTGATAGATGTGGCCAAATACCTGGGATCTCTGAAGTTCAGAGTCTGGGAGAAGATGCTGGAGATTGTGCAGTACAGTGAATACTGAGGGAAATGGCT